AAAGGCAACTTGGTATTTGGAACTCTCACATGAATTCCAAAAAAACTCCGTTCGGAATATAAACTCCTCTTTGCAAGATTATAGGGTGGTTGTTGTATTATGTTTTTCTTTCTTTTGTTCCGTTTATTTGACGAAACTTGTTACTTTTGTGGCATATCTCTTTAGTTGTTTTTCCACAAGTAAGATCATTTGTGGAATGGCCTGGCTTAATCATCTCAAGCTATTCAGCAGCCCAGGAGATGGAATGAGAGGCTGGATGTATAGATAGTCCACTGCTTTTAAGGACCTCTTGCCGAATTGTTAAGTGGTAAAAGATACCAAGTCAAAAAACCCACAGGGAAATAAATATGACCAAAGTATATTAGATGTGGTTACTAAAGGAACACAATGATACCCATTATTTTATATAATTAATATAGGTTCATAATACCTTTCTATTGTTAAAAAAGCACAAATTAAGCCGGGCGGTGGTGGCGCACGCCTTTAATCCCAGCACTCGGGAGGCAGAGGCAGGCGGATCTCTGTTGAGTTCGAGGCTAGCCTGGTCTACAAAGCGAGTTCCAGGAAAGGCGCAAAACTACATGGAGAAACCCTGTCTCGAAAAACCAAAACACACACACACACACACACACACACACACACACACACACACACACACACACACACAAATTAGTAGATATAGAATGCAGATGACAAAATAAGAGTGTCGTCTTTCTAGGGCTGTGTGACATTTTGAGTGAAGGGATGGAACAAACTTGGGCTTCGTGGATGTTTCTGAGTAAAATGCTAAGTTTTTAGACTCTGGAAGGAATCGCCTAAGTCAGGAGATGGATTTTCCCTTTCTTTTTAAGTTCGCCTCATGACTTGCATTGGGATTTTAAAAACATACTATTTTCAGAGTCAACAGCAATGCCTCTGTTTTCCATGGAATATGTATTGATTTGAATAACTCCATTTTTAGTCCTCCACGGTGATGTGCTCTTATTTAAGAGAATGGAAAGTGATAGGAGGGGCCGCCTGTCTGTAGTGGGGTGGGGGCTGGGGCGGCGGCGGCGGCAGCTCTGTGTTTTGCTTTGTTTACATACAAGTCCTTTCATATAGATTCCTGGTTTGGCAAGATATTAACTGGAAACAATTCCAAGCTTCTTCAGCTTAGATTTGTTGAGAGCCTGCGGTTGGTATTTCTTCATAAATACTGATGGCTTTTCCTTTGCTTAAAATAATAGAAGTTTTTTTTTCTTTAAAAAAAAAAGAAGAAAAGAGAATTGTGTAAAGAAAGATATGTATTTTGTTTGGCCTCGCAAAAATACCACTTGGCTCCAAGCATCCCATATTTCTTGACTCTGCCTGTGCCCTGGAGCTGTGCAAGGGTAGATGTTTTTAAAATGAGATTGGAGTCTGGATTTGCATTCCTCTCAGTTTTTGTACTGTTGTCTTAGTTGGCCCTGCACTGGAAAGCCTGAGTGAATTTCCTTAATGAAACCTAACAGTAGGGAATGGTGCTTTAGAAAATGCTCTGCAAGCAGCTAATTGGAAAAGGACTTACTTCTTCAGATGATTGCTTTTTAAATGAAATTTCAGACAATTACATGCTAGATAGACTCTTATAAGTCATTGCAGGCTATTCAAAAGTTGTGACGTGAAAGTGACCCAGAATTTAAAAAAAGGACCAGGTCAGCTTCATTGCTCACTTGAACTAGTTAGCATTCCCTGTGGAAAGTGATCCACTTTTCCGATATAATTGATGTGTGTCACCGATGGAGCAAGCCAGCCTACAAGGTGCACGATGATTTTTCATGCTTCTTCTGCTTTCTTACTCATGGTCGTGCTGGAGATGAAACCCAGGCCCGTTTTACTTTAAAGTAGCCTACATTTTTCATGACTTGACGGTGGCCTGAGTCACTCCCCTTTACACATATAAAGCAAAATGCTAAGGAAACCCACCCGAGGTTACACAGAGGACCCTCAGAAAAGCCAAAACACATGCAGAGTAATTGCTCCTGGGTGCTGTTTTTTGTTCGTGCCCTAGATCTGTGGTACTGATGGAGATTTTCAAGACCTTTCCTCTCAAGTGCTTGAGACTGGAAAAGCATGTGTAAACAGTATACACATTCCATTGACTCTGAAGCAGAACCCCTTGTGATGGTCGCATAGCCCTCCCTGCCCACGGCCATGCCTCCAACATGTTAGTGGTGAGAGTTGATCCGGTCCTGTGGACAATGCTGCTGAGTCAGTAGCAGTCTTTCCAGCTTGCAGCAGTAGAGAAGCCAAGTGCTGTGAGTGAGTGGCTGGTTCTCAGCCCAGTCCAAGGCCTGCTTAAGTGCTTTGCCAAAAGCGAGTTTGGTATGACATGTGAGGGAATGAGGAAGGACCCAAAAAGTAGGATATTATGGTAGGCAGAAAGTAGCGTAGAAGGAGAGGAGATATGAGAAGGAGAGAGTGGGGGTTAGTTAGGCTATGGGTTCAAGTCCCAGCTTTGTAAGTTCCCAAGTGTGTCACTGAAATCTACTACTGTGACACAGCTATGTTCATAGTGACCAATAACCAGATGTCGTTATTTATCAATTAATGAAAAATCCCTTGCTGAGAGGGTGGCTCCAGTTTGAAGTTTAGAGAGGGCACGCTTGCTTTGCGGTGGAGATTTTGAGGGGACCAGCTGGGGTTGGCTTGTGTGGACTGTGACAGAACACCTACACAGAGTTTACTTGAGAGGGTGTATTACCCCCATGTCTCTCCCCATCCTTCCCATTTCTTTCCGTCTTTGGCTTATCCATTCCCATTGTTTTAGTGGGTTGGCTGTTACATCCTTACTTTAGGGGACAGGGTAGAGGATGAGCAGAAGGACCCACCTATGTCCCTAACAAACAGGTTTCCTTCAAGTGGCATATTCCACTTAGTCGTGAACCCTCAGATGCCAGGGCCCAGGGAGAATGGCTTTCACTGTTTCTCTAGGGGTTCATGTGGTTTGTTTCTCCACCCTTGTGCGTGGACTGACGCGAGAAACTATGGCATGTTTAGGGAAAACTACTTTTCATGATAATAGCAGGAACTCATATTTGAAATGCCATAGAAATAGTGTTTAAAAATGTGCATGACCCTTCTCATCAACCTTTTTAAAACTATACATGTAATGTCATAATTTAATTTAAAAAAAATGGAGGCAGTTTGCCCAACATGGCATCAGTAGGGAGTGGCGGGGTGGAGCTGAGAAATGGACATGTCCTTTCGGGGTCCCAAGCGCTCGATGATTACTTTGCTTCCTACTTCGAATGTGTTCGTCTGAGAGTTTATTCATATCTATAACTTGAGTTTCAAAACTTTCTCTCCTATTTAGTTCTTCTCAAGTTTCCTAGACCTTATGTTTCGTGTTCTATCTTTAACTGTTTCTGTGTTTTTCATGGATTTTAATTCTGGGCCAGTTAAGTTGCAGCTGTCACTTCATACTTGGGTGGGGATTCGGTTTGGAGCACTTGGTTATGTATTCCGCAGGTCAGCCCTGAAAGCTATTGAGGATGGCAGGGTGAGTAAGAAATAGTCCCTTCCCTGGAGGCAGTTACATAATTCTTTAGAGAATGGGTTTTAAACAAGCCTGTTAACATCAAATTAGGTTCTGACATTATATGCAAATCGGCGTTGACCTACATGCAGACACCCATTTGCCCTTGTAATTACGAGCGCATCACAGTGCCTCTGATCGCCACCCATCTCTTGAAAGCATTCCTAAGGTACTAGATAATTAGGCAATACTATTTTAGCACTTTTTATAATTTCCCTTAAGTAACCTGGTTTATATTATTATGTCTGTAGTAAAATCTTGATGCTAATTTATACAAAAAAGAGACTCGATAATATCTGCTTTTTAAAGGCAGGAGTTAAACATGCTTATTTGTAGAAATGATTGCTACTTCATGACATTTTGAATAATGTCAGGAATAATGAACAGGTATATTAGAAACCAACATGAAATGAAGGCTGGCATGAAATGTGAGGCCAAAGCCTGTTAATACAAGGCTATGGAGCCCTGCCACCCATGTACTTTTCACAGCATTGAGAAAAAGGATGCTTTGTCTCTTAGGATGGCGAAGACCTACTCAGTGTGTGGACTTAGAAATCCCATAGTGTGAGAAGGGATTGGAAGCATTCTTGTTCTGTCCTTTTTTGGCTTTGTTTAGTCAAAGAAGGTAAAAAATCAAATACTTTGATTTTTTTTTTGTTTTTTTTAGGAACTGTGAAAACTATTCAAAGTTTTGGGATGACCAAAGACAGTGGGTAGCCATTAGAAACTTTGTCTTAGAGTGGTGGTGTCCTCAAAGTGCTGAGAAGGAAGAGTTTTCTAAAAGGTTTGAGGAATAAATGCGTTTAGGAGACAGGAAACTACTGGTTTGGTACTTAGGTAAAATGAGGCCCTCAAATAATGGGGTCATTCTCGGGCTCAGAGGGAACAGAGAGGACTGGACACAGGAAAACAGGAAGAGACTAATAGCTGACTGCGCTGGAAAAGGAAGGAGGAGGAAGTCATTGATGGTGGCATTTCAGACGATTAGAATTTTATAATCACCAGGTGTGGGAGGGGCCTGTGAGCACCGGTTAAAGGGGTGCAAATGCCCCTTTTACCCATCGTTATGATCGTTGTTGTGTTCTGAAACAGGACTCCCCATGTCAACCAGGGTAGCCTCCTCTCAGGATGCCTTTGCTGGATGTCAGGGTGCTGGGACTACAGGCATGTGCCACCACACCCTGCTCCAAATGGCCACCCCGTGGCATCCTTGTAAGATCACATCTCTGATGACTATCTCAACGCTCTGTCCTGCCTTTCTCCACTCCGCCCTTTCTCAGTGGATATCAAGGAATTCTTCCAAGGATTGGAAATGGTGAGAAAATGAAACTAAGATGATTACTCCGAAGTGGGTAGTCTCCTGACTGTGTGATGCGCTAGGTCTCCTGAGACATGTATGTCGTGTGTGCTGACTACTCCCCTGATGCAGTGGATTGTATCCTAGGCATTTTTCGTCGACCACAACTCCCGAACCACCACGTTCATTGACCCTCGGCTCCCGCTCCAGAGCAGTAGACCCACAAGCGCGCTGGTTCATCGGCAACACCTGACGAGGCAACGCAGCCACAGTGCCGGTGAGGTGAGTTACGGCTGTTAGGGGCTGACCAGTTGATTGACAGTAGCTCCTAGGATACGGATGTAGTGCTTTGTGAAACTGTGTTGCCTTTTTGTTGTTTGTTTTATTTACTGTTTTTATTTTATTTTTGTTTAATTTAGTTTGGTTGTTTAGTGTATCATTTAGAGGCTTAGAAAGTTTTGGAATGTTGACAAGGTTTCTCTGAAAATACCTCTAGGCTAAATTGCAAATTTAATAGTTGGGGTATATGATGAAAGATTGAAGAATAGAGTTTCGTATTTAACTCAGAGGGAATTGGTAATGCCAAATGCTCACAGAAGATAATACTCCCTTTGCACATCCAAGGACAGTCTCGGAAGAAAACAATGAATGAACTTTTAGTGGGCTGAAATTGTGTTAACTGCAGGGAAGAATTTCTTAAATGAGGTTTACTGGATGCCATTAAGATATCCATCCAAGGGCAAATCTATAGGGCTGTGGAATCCTCGCTGGCATTGTCTAAAGTTAGAATGTATTTGACGGAAGTGATTTATGTGCCGGCTGCACAGAGAAAATGGTCTGAACTGAGACCGACCGGACTCCACTGTGTTCTACTTTGCCAGTGTGCAGTGGTCTATGGTAACCACACGAGGGCTCTCCAGTACCCTAGCCCCAAACACACAAAAAAATCCCTTCTTGTTTCATTTTTCTTTCAACAACCTAAATGCATGGAAGGACTGTTTGTGGTTGAAATTTCTTCTCCTTAATATAAGTTTATGCTTTGAGTGCACACTGTGGTTTGGTGTACATAGTTTCTAAAAATTCCCTTAGACAAATGGAATTAAGATTCTTTTTCCTGCCTGCCATTTCTAAATGCATATCGTATTTCTAATATTATATTGTAGGTCAAATATTCTGAAGGCTTTATTATAAGAAAAAATTATGAATGCAATAAATAATTGGATTCAGTTCATCAAAATTCCACCCCTGGAATTTCCCCTCATGCTGTTCATACTGCTTTAATGCATCATGTGCTCACTGTTTATAAAAGAATATACATGAGAAGCTCATATAAAAATGATATATAAGTCTAATGCAGGGTGAGGTATGCATGAAAATATTTATGTTTTATGAGCAGCCAATAAATCTTTATCATGCTGTCCTGTAAACCATTAGTAGTGAACTGGAGGATACTTACAGCATTCATCTTACCAAATACAACCGAACTCTCACCCTTGGACCTTGCGTGGATGTGTGGCATAATTAGGGCTCTGCCTGGCTTTATCACTCGGACAGTGCACTTTAACCCTTTACTGTACGGTGACCTCACAAGCTGAGGTTGGCTGTTGTGTCTAGTCGGGATGATGTTTCTGGGAAAAGCAAGAGATGCCTAACTGTACTTGCACTGTCTTTTGGTGCCTCCTGCCCCAGAACTTTAATTGCTTTCATGGTCTATGAGTGGAAGAGGGCCCCTCGAGAGTATGTTAGCAACTTAGTGAACCTCTCTTCCTGTTGATGGGAACGGAAGAGTGAAACAGAGAGTGGCCCAGCACGCCGCCACATTATTGTCCAGCCTTTCTCCAAGAGTATTCTTTGTGAGGCAGCCCTTTGGAAGCGTTACAGCTTGAGGCATTACCTATATTTCTTGGAGGAATTGAGCACTGTCTTGCGGTCTGGTTTTAAGAAGTGAAGTCTTCAAGACCTTTGGCTGTTCTAGGAAGTGTTGACACACGGCCTCCTACTGACTGGAGGGAAATTACATAGACTGGTGTCTGAAACGCTAAGTCCTCTGCCCGAAGATGGGCAGATAATAACTGAATCTTCTCAGAGTGGCTAGCTGTGTTCCGTGAAGCCAATAACCCAGACGAAGCAGGCTGAGAAACTTCTGGTAATGTAGCGGGTCTTCACGGATGCCATCCTTGCTGCGTTCAGCAGTGTCTGCAATCAGTAGAAATGCTGGTGTCTCTGCTGTGGAAACAAATGCTTTCTGTGGTACAGACGCGTTGTGGTTGAGAGTGTGAAGAATATAAATAACTAACACTTATTTCCCACATTCTTTTTTTTTTTTTTTTTTTTTTGGTTTTTCGAGACAGGGTTTCTCTGTGTAGCTTTGCGCCTTTTCCTGGAACTCACTTGGTAGCCCAGGCTGGCCTCGAACTCACAGAGATCCACCTGGCTCTGCCTCCCGAGTGCTGGGCCCACATTCTTAATGTGGAGAGAAAATTTAAAACTATCTTTTAAAGGAATGAAAGTAAGAGTGAAAACCCCTTGATAAACTTTTAAGGGGCCCACGAGGATGCTGGGGCAGAGGGTCTAAAACGCTTGCTGCACAGGTTGGAGGCCTGACTTTGACCCCTGGAACCCATGAAAGAATGGAAAGAGAGAACTCACTCCTCAGACTTAGCCTCTGACCTCCACATGCACACCGTGGCACCCTCTCCCCACCTCCCACAATAATATATAACATTACAGTTCTTCAGGACCTGAGAAAGAAAGCTATATCTTAGTAACTCTTTGAGATAATAATGTGGGCTTTCTTGTTTATTGTTTCCAGCTTTATTGGACCAGAGGAAACAAATCGTAAAACTATTAGTAAAGTAATAACAACTAGTTTTGAAATATGCACCGAGCACCATGGGAGCTCAGAGGAGAAGATTATATTTAAGCTCAGCTTGAAGAGAAGGGAAGGCTTCATGGAGGACGGGGCTGTTTGAACTATACTTTGAAGAGTGAGGGAGAGCATTCCTGGAAGATAAGCAGGCAGGGTAGGGCAGAAAGGCTGTTTCTAATGTGAAGGGCTGTAGAAAGGGCCTCAACAAATATCCAGCAGATGCAATATGATAAAATGGCAATGAAGATTTCAGCGGGGGGAGATAGGCGCTCCATTTGAAAAGCACCAATGCATCAATCCAGTGTCACCTCCTGTCCTCTCCTCATGGCTCTACTTGTCTCAAACGACTTCTGGAATATGAGAGAAAATGCTAGGAAAGAGGCCAAAGCAATGTTAGAGTTTCCCGTTAAGAGCACAGATGAGTGGTTTGGGGTATCTATTTGTAGGGGTTTCTAAACCTGTAAGAGGTGCAATGCATAATTCAGGCGAGGGAGACCATTTTTAGATCTTGCACACCTGCTACTGTTAGCTGTCTGGTGTGGGAGGCTCAAACCAGAAAGAGCTGTTACACCAGATCCTCTAATGGGCATATAAAATTGCTTCTGAGGAGATAATGTCCTAATGCATAGCCCCACAGGAAGATTCCTGCTGCTCAGCTCCTCCTCTGCTGAGGCAGGGAATTCCCTCGTCTACCTGGCTAAGTAAAAGAAGGAATATCCTGGCACAGCCCCAAAACGAGTTGTATCACCCAGCTTTTCCCTTTGACTGTGTTATGGCAGTTGGGGTTCTATCCGCGCACATGATCCTGAGCAACAAGTCTACGATTTTGCGTCTGCAGACTTGGTAATTACAAGCAGATTGAACTACTGAGCCACACCTGCTCACTGGCCCCCACTTCTGTCAAGGACAGGCCTGTGTCCCTCACCAGCATCCAACCTTAAGAGCAGACCTTTCAAAGATCTGGTGTCAGCCCCGTTACTGGCACCCATTCTGGTCAGCGGGTTATTTGCCATAAGTGTTTTGAACAACGTGGTTTTGAGATGCCAGCACGAAGCCCTGTGGCTCTTGGTGCAGACATAAATGTTGCTTGCATTCGCAGGTAGGAGAAGACTCTCGGCATGCGGGACCACCAGTTCTTCCCAGACCGTCCAGTACATTCAATACAGTCAGCAGGCCGCAGTACCAGGACATGGTTCCAGTGGGTATGTTAGCCCTTACTACAAATCTTTATCTGTGCCACCGTGGTATTGTGTAGAGTGCATGCTATGCTAATGTGTGCCTCCCGCCAGCCTTCCACTCTTTACCCGGTATCAGAAAACTACTGTGTTGTCCTTAAGAAACTTACCACAAAACCCCCGTCTCTTGAGTCTCCGAGAGCTTCTGTCTTATAAAATCCCATAGTCCTACTTACCGAGTATTGGGTTGCTGAAGGCAAGAAAAACTAATGAGATAATATGCAATCATTGTAAATTAAGCATTTGAACAAACATATAATTAGAATATATCGCATCCTGAGATAGAATTTAAGTGGTATGTGAATCTGTGGTAGCCTCACACACTAACCACATTCTTAAGGGCTTTTATAACAAATAGAAAGCAGCGAAGCCTCCAGAAGAGTAAGCTGAGATAAGTGGATGTAGACTCACAGGTCTGAAAACCATTTTGAGCTGTTGTTAAAATGATAAAGCTGAAGTATGTTCACGGTCTCCAATCCGGAGCCCCTGAGGCATGCAGAATGGACAATCTGCTGTGAAGCAGACAGACCCCCTCCCCACCTTAAAGCAGAAGAAATTTCTCTTTGTTTCTGCATCAAAAACAAAGATACTTCCCTGCCAGGGGAGATACCGTGATTGTGAAGGTGGTTTTCCCAGGGCAAGACACCCCCATTGTACTCCAGATGAGCTGGCCCTGTGGTTTCCCAAAATGTGGGAAACTTGACCACATCATTTGTGGTGGTGGTGGTGGTAGTGATAGGGGTGCATTGGCACTCTACCCTAGAAACACACACACACACACACACACACAAAACCCCTTCGTCACAAAACACAGTGTAATACTCATGACCTAAAGAAGTTCACAACCACCAGATATCTAGGGTTGATGTCTACATTTATAATGTCATTCATTATTAATATGTAATGTGTTAATGAATACTACATATAGAACTTTCAAGAGCTATAAAATTATTGCATAAGAAGTATCTCATCTCTGATTTTGGGTGGAATATAAAAACAATTCCATTACAAAAGTGTCTTCCGTTCACATGCCATGAAATGTTCCTTTAGGGATCCCTGGCATTGATATTAGAATTCTGTCTTAACAGATAGCATTTAAAAGCCTTTAAAACATTTAGCTAAAATATGTGTGTATAGACAGTGTGGTGTTTCCAATGCAGCTACCTATAGAATTACAGGGCTTTCTGTTGTTTTGTGAATTCAGACACTCCAACCTTGGCTCTCCAGATTATATTTATTATCCATTTCTGATTATTATTAATATAACTAAGCAGAATAATCTTAAGCATATGGATTCATTTTCCTGACCGAAGAGGTAATAATGGAACCCCTAGTAAATTTTCATGAGCAATTTTGACATGTCTACAGCCGTGTTAAGAAGGGTGTAGATTGTGTAAAATGTGTGCTTTACCTGGAGGTGGTGATTGGTGCTTCAGTTGTTTAGACAGTGTGTTTGGTGCGGAGCTGTTCACATTTGGCATTTATTTCCACGTCGAGTTAGAGAACAGCTAGCTGGTCATTAGCACCGTGGCTGTAGCTGTCACTATTTGGGGGGATCTCTCGTTCTACCCCTTTACCTCTCTGGCTAGCTCCTATTCAGCCAGAAGATGGTTTCCCACTTCTTACGGTTGTTATTTCTATGAGGTTGTCTGCTGTTGGCATTTTGGTGATGGTGGTAGTTTTGGTTTGGCTTGGATTTTGAGACAGAGTCTTACAGTGTAGCCCATGTTGGCCTCGAACTCAGTTCTCCTCCTTCAGTCTCCCAAGTGCTGGGATTATAGGCCCGTACCATCGTGCCTGGCTTTCAGGTTGATTTTTGGTAACTTTAAAATGATGAATATCTAGAATCTTGTTAGTAAACTAATCTTGTCATTTGAAAGTAAATATGGCTCATCAGATGAATTGAAAAAACAAAAGCTCTTGGTCTAATTGGAGCAGGCAGATTCTGTGTCTCAGGGAGCTGCTCTTGGATCAACCCAAGCTAGTTGTTTCTGTGACTCACGGATCCATTCTTGGTCTTATCAGGGCTCTTGGTCCAGTCAGAGCTGACAGATTCTGTGTTTCAGGAAGCCTCTCTTGGTCCAATGAGAGGTGGCGGATTCTACTTCTCAGAAAGCCACTCTTGGTCTAATGAGGGCTGGCAGATTCCCTGTCTCCTGAGGTTACTCTTGGTCCAGTGACGGTTCTTCGTCTAGTGAGAGCTCTCTCGCTCTCTCTAGGTCTGAACAGAGCTGGGGGTTGGTTTCCAACCCTCAGGAAGTGGCTGGGGTCTCTCGGGTAGATGGGTATGGGGGCAGGGCGTGTAGATTGCAGGGTGGCTGACGGGTCTTGGTGAAGGGGGAGCCTTCCCGCAGGAGCCCTGCCTGCTGGCTGGCAACTGGGGGAAAAAGACTAGCAGGTAGCATGTAGCAGTTGTAAGCCCGAGAATCATGTAACACCTTAGACAGAATTGGAATGTAAGCGTCTATGGCCCGAGGGGCAGAACAGCTCCAACCTGAGGACTTGGGTGAAATGAATGTTAGCCATAAAACATAGTTTTCAAAGTCTGAATTAATATCATCATAGAAGTAGTAGTAGATTTTTTTAAAGAATTATTGTTTTTGTTGTTTTTCAGCCTACAATGACAAAATCGTTGCATTTTTGCGTCAACCCAACATCTTTGAAATTCTCCAAGAGCGTCAACCTGATCTTACTAGAAACCACTCACTCAGGTAACCAGGGTGTTGGGATTTGTTCCAAGGGACATTAGCACCAACATAATAAAATCTTAGTGACACGCCAGTCATCTGGGGGACTTGATTTCCTTCTGACGTTTACAAAGATAGGTGGAGATGTTCTATCGTCGATACCCGCTTGCTGAAGTCCCAGTGTCTCTGCTAAGTACAGGGCTTGAGTCAGATTGGCTAAATAAACTAGAATCTTCCTTACAGAAGAAATAGCAAAAGGAAACAAATACACACAGCCAAGAATCCATCGCAGCTTGAAAAAAAAAAAAAAGACAGACATTTTAAGTACAGCTTGAATCAACAAGAGTGGTCTTCAGTTGAACTGAGATTCATCAAGTCCCAGACTGGACATTCCATTTTTCCTTAAGGAAAACACGGTGGAACCCAAGGAGAGAATCTGATTCCTCTGTGTGAACCCTCCTCCAATATCATACTCATCTCCCTGTCCCTTCCTAAATATGTGCTCCACTTCCCCGCCAACCCAGCTGCTTTGTGGGTTGTCAAGCAGGGGCTTTCTTTTAAAACTCTCTGCCTTTGAAACCTTTCAGCTCCACGGTGGCTCTTAGATCCTGATACAGGATGGGGTTTCCCAGTTTCAGGGTGCTGTGCGTCGCTGGCGGTAGCAAAAGGGAAATCTTATATAACTTGGTGCCCACTTGATTTACACAGTACTTTTAATGGTAGAAATGCATTTGCTAATGATGTCACCCTAGTGTATAGCAGTGGTTCTCAAAACTTACCCGCCTTGTGTTCACCTAAAAAATGTAGGAGCTTTAGAAAATGCAAAGTGCTGGGCCTCACCCCCAACACACACACATACACACATTTCTCTCCCTTCCATACTGTCTCCAGAAATGCCATCCCAGAAGCATGGGTAAAACCCAGGCACTATTTTCTTTGAGCCTCTTCATGTAATTCTACAGCACAGCCAGGTATAATAACCTGGCTAGACACTAATTTGATGATTAATCGTGTGATGTGTGAAATCGTTCTTTGTATTCTTGACTATGTGACTTTCTTGCTCTAATTTGAATTTTCAAGTTCTCATTTTTCAATTAGATTCTTAGATCCTTTCTGCTACAGATCACATCCAGCTTACCTGTCCCTTGAGGTCTGTCCCTTGCTGCTCAGATATCTAAAGCACTTTCTATGCAGTGAATAAACTAATTGCCAATATTATGACACAGCCCTTACCTTCAGAAACTTTATGTTTCTGAGGACTAGAAACTAGGCAAAATTTTAAGTCTGGCATGCAAATGATGCCTGTGTTAAAATCCTGGTTCCACAAAGTGAGCTCACAATGGAGTCCCAATGCTGTCTTCACATAAACATGCTGTTCTTCATCACCAAAAAATGAAACAAATATGGATTTTGAATGTTTCTTCCTTAGGGCATCCCCTCAGCAATCCACGGTCCCCTAGAGATGAATAAAATTGCAGAAGTGAGTTTAACCTTCAATTCTAATTAAGGATCGTAGAGATCCTGAACCTCCTCAAAGCACAACAAACAAATCCCTCCTCTCTTGTTAATCATGAGGTTAAAAAATTCCATTTCCTCTCATTTTTACTTCCTACACACACACGCACAGAGAGGGAGGGAGGGAGGGAGAGAGAGAGAGAGAGAGAGAGAGAGAGAGAGAGAGAGAGAGAGATGCAGCCCATCCCCCACAAAACAGACTAAGAACGTGAATACTTAAGAAGTTTTGTACTTTTCCTCTGCACTCTAGGTTATTATTTAAAGTAATTAGCATATCTTTAAATCTCCACCTTGGGGGAGCTGAATGATTTAATCTACCTGAACAGGGCATCTGACTTACCACAAGTCTGTAATGGCTTAGAAGAATGGTAACAATCTTATTAGAGGGAGGGAGGGAGGCTGCAGTTGATAGCACCCAGCTTTTTGATTTCTTTCTGCTTTTTACTCTTAAGAAGGCTAAAGATTTTAGCCTTTTCAGTGGCCTTCAGGGTCCCCAGTTAACCATAATTCTGCCTAGATCTCTCATGGTAATCTCTTATGGAGAAGTTATTTCATAATGTTTGAGATGTTTCCGTCTGTTTATAAGTCGAGACTCTATGCAGATTGTGGCCACGGGAAGCATCAGCAAGCCTGACAGCCCAGTGAAGAAGCAGGAACTTAAATCGATGAGATGATGCTGTTTCCCCCACCCAGTGTGTATCACTCGGTTCCTCCGTGTGCTTATCATAACACCCTAAAGGAGAAGTCCGCATATCTGAGAGAACATTCTGTCTCCTACAGTTAAAAACTGCATCGTAAGGAACATTCCCACCAATGTCGGGAAGGAGTCTAAGTTGGGGTTTTTAATCTCAGATTTAAGTGATATTTTTGATACTACATTGTGTTAGTCAGCTGTCATTACAACCAGATACCCGAGATAATTGATTTATAAAGAAAAAAAGCTTACTGCAGTTGTAGTGTTTCTAGTCCTTGATCTGGTGGACCTACTGGTCTTTGGTCCTACTAGTGGGTAGGTGTCACCAGATGGGAATGGCAGAAAGCTAAATGCTCACCTCACAGCTGGGAGCTGAAAGCAAGGTTTAGGAGCCAGGGTCTCTCAGTCCCCACTGGGAGCACAATCCTGATGACTTAAGAACCTGCCTCAAAACATCTTCTGGAAGTCCACAGCATTTCCCAATAGCACCGTCTTGAAACCAAAGACTTGAACTCCTGGACCTAACAGACATATGGAATGGAACCCATGGGTAACTTGTGCTCACGGGCGTCTTTAAACTCTGGTTCCTGCCTGGCCAGGGATGACCCACACCAATACAGATTCCCATGTATTCTTCCTCATTGATAGCACAGCCACTGGAGAGAAGCACAAGCCGTCCTTGTCCCTTGAGTAAGGGACACCACTGGGAGACTGAAGTGGGTATCTCTTTCTTTGTGCTTTCCTTGTGTTGCTTGTGATTCCTCCTAAGTCAGAGCAGAGCAAGCAATCGATTCGGCCTTATTGAGATCCAATTTCCCTTGAGACGCCATTTTTCTCCTTTCATGTAGAATTTCTGTGGTTGTCCATGTCCAGGATGACTTTGGTTCTCTCTAACCCATCAGAAGGTTAGAATGGTGCCAATTTGTCACTCCAAATCTTTAGTCCTGGAAAGAGTTCATTTCTCCAGTTAAAAAATGAATGTCCCGAGGAGGGTATGACTCAGTAATTAAGACCATGTACTGCTCTCTCAGAGGACCCAGGTTTGGTTTTTAGCACCCATGTTGGGTGGCTTACAACCACCTGTAACTCCAGCTTCAGGGCATCTGATGCCCTCTTCTGACTTCTTGGGAAGTTGAGTTCACACATGCACATCCCAACCTCCACATACATATGCATAATTAAAAATAAGATAATTTTTTAAAAATATGAACATCCAAATTTGCTACCACTTCTGTCTGAGGGGAAAGCGCCCCTATTGGACTGTTAAACTATACTACTTCTTTGCATTGGAAGATAATAATCATACCAAGATACCTAGCGTATGTGAAGAGCCGAAATGAAAAACTCAAAGATAGTATCAAAATATAAATATCTTCATTCCAAACATCCTTTTATAATACTTTGAGTGAATATAACACATAAAATTTCCATACATTTTTTTAGTTCTGGCATTTGTATACTACTCTGTTATAAACAAGGATCGTGAATTTCCCTCTGTGGTGGTGATTAGGCCCAGCCAGCAAGTCTGATCCCTACCAACACTGTTTTCCCAGGCAGCACCAGGTTGCAGACTGACTCTTCCTCGCACACAGGCTTCGTATGGAGAGTCCATTGCCATGAGAATGGTCTGTGAGATTTTCTTCCATTTTATGTAAATATATCCATTTTGTATTTTAAGTTACTAATAATGAAATGACTTGGAAGTCCCAAGAAATTCTGAGCCACAAGAAGCGAACAGGCCTGTGCCTCAGCTCACTACCCAAGATTGAAACACAACTGTAGACCTTTTCTGTTCCTTTCTATCATCTTTTTTTGGAGAAACTTGCAGGGTTTTTTTGTAGTAGGCGCAAAGCTACACAGAGAAACCCTATCTCGAAAAACCAAAAAAAAAAAAAAAAAAATCAAAAGTTTCCAAAAGCTAGCTTAAATAAAACCAATCCTTGTGTTCATAGTTGCTAACCTATTTCTCATCCAGCTTGATTGCAAATGAATTTTTCCACATTAAAACTGAGCTGGAAATATTAGCCTCAGCTGTCACACTTTTAATCCCAGCAGTCAGGAGGCAGAGGCAGGAAGATCTCTGAGTTCAAGGCCAGACTGGTCTACAGAGTGAGTTGCAGGAGAGCCAGAGCTACACAGAGAAACTCTATTTGAAAAAGAAAAACAAACCAAAACAAACAAACAACAAAAACTGAGCTGGAAATATTAACCTCAGCTATCATCTGTACTCTTTGTCTAAGCAGCTTGAATTGGCCCCTGCTGATCCTGAGGCCTGCTCCTGCCAGGGCCTGCCTCCCTCTGCCTCCCAGTCTCCTGTGGCTTGTTTGCTGCTCACTTAGATGCAAAGATGTGAGCATAGTGATGTTGTGGTCCTTGCTGCTGGACTCAATTTAAATAATAGAAAATCTAGATAGGGACTATTATTTCCCTGCCGACCATTTATATAGGGATAACTATTGAATTTTTAAAAGCACCTCACTAAAATAATTATAAACAATGCGTATTAATGGTCATTAGAAACTTTTGGTAGAAGGTTCTCATCTCTCACTAGGAGACCAGAAGTTATGTCTCTTGGGAAGTAATTAGGTACATGTCTTAAGAATTCACATTTGTGGTTAGACAGACCTGCTTTTGAATTTTGACTCTACAGATTACTTACCATTCAAGGTGACTTTGAATGAAGCTTTTGAGAGTCTTTCAAGGCATAACTCTGAGAGGAGGATACGGGTTTCTACCACTCACTTTTAAAGAGCGGATGAGTAAGGATCATGAAGCGCTGGGTAGTGTGTAAGCAAAGCAAGTGTGCTGTACATGA